TAATGTAATGTCAACATGTAAACTTTATCATTTTAATATATTTTAATAATTAGGCTACTGCTGCTTTCTTTTATTTCCAAAAGTTATCTTCCTTCATTTATCTTTCCAGCTAATTCTTTCCATCCTTCTCCAGTACCATATTTCAAAAGGTTCCAGTTTGCCCCTTTCTTTTTGAGTTAACATCCACGTCTCACATTACACGTGGATTGTTCTATCGAGTGATTATTTTAATGTTTTCCCAAACAACCGATACGTTTCTACGTAGCAATAAAACATCTTTTATTACTCTCCAGGCTAATATTCTCATGTATAGGGCTGTTCTTGTAATTGAGTTAATATTGTTTGAGAAAATCTAATATTGTACATCTTGTCTTCTTGACTTGAAGAAATTAAATTACAATATCATAAACATATATTATACAGCGAGGTAGATTTAGTACTAAATCGGTGTTTTTGTATAGCATAGGGTACAAACGAGTGAAAGAAAACCATACTAAGGAGGACCGCCATTCATCCCGATGATCTACTAAATCAAAAACTGAAAAAAAGTTTCTCGAAAACTCCCGTAAGCAAATAAAATTTATAGATCTTGTAAATGAATTACTACCCTTTGGTCACACCGGCATCCAAATTTATTAATAACTTATACATTCATTATAAAAATCGCCCCTATCGTTCGGTGATGCTGTAAAGGCCAACTAAGGCCAACAGCATTGAAATAATTCGAAAATGATAATAATAATACCTACTTAATAATTAATTCAACATATAACAAATAAATAAATTTAAATAAATAATCTCTGTACAATTCACACAGCGCCATCTAGACCCAAATTAAGCTACCTAAAACTTGTGTTATGGGTACTTGACAACTGATACAAATACATAGATATGTTTTTTTTTCGTAAATACATACATATTATACATAGAAAATACCCAGACCGATACAAACAATCATACTCATGAATACAAATGTTTGTGCCGTGTGAGGAATCGAACCCGCGACCATCGGACGTAAAGCGGTGTGCTTGACCGCTAGACCACCGAGGTCGTCAAAGCATATTATAAAGTGAAAATATAGAAAAACTTAAAAGCTAATATCGCGCTATGAGCTGAAAGGACCACCACTCAGCTGGTGCCGCAGCGTGTCACTGCAGCGCTGATTTTCAGTGAAGCCACTCGAAAAAAGGAAATAGCTTTCTTGATATTTTTTTACTTTAAACTATCTGTCCCGGCAACGTTGTTTTGCCTTAAAATAAAAAAAAAATTAGGGGTGGACTACCCCTAACATTTAGGGGGATGAAAAATAGATGTTGGCCGACTCTCAGACCTACTCAATACGCTCACAAAATTTCATGAGAATCAGTCAAGCCGTTTCGGAGGAGTATGGGAACGAAAACTGTGACACGAGAATTTTATATATAAGTACTTTAAATATATGTCTTTTATCTATGTACATATCATAAAAATATTTGTCGCAATTGCAATCCCAGTACACTTTTGTTTCGAAGCAAATAGTATTTTCATTTCTTCAAACATAAAGTGTATTTTTGAAGGAACGGCGAATGTACACCCAATATAATTGATAGATAATTAACAGCTCTGTCGATCTAAATTAAAGGTGCTATCTAACTATAAGTTATGTTTAATTATAATTAGAGGGTAGGCCGATAATTAAGTTGGCAGTAATACTGCTCATCACGCCAGCTCCTCCGCCCATCCTGTTCATTTACATTTTGGAATTAAAAGCCAAGTTCAGTCATCGAGGTGACATTATTTCTAATTGATGGGTGTCCACAGATTTATTTATTTACTATCTATGTCTGCGGTTTCATGAAATTTACAGTTTATTCTGATCTATAAGCTACAATACTGCGAAGATTCATCAAATCCGTTACTACTACCGTAACGTACTTTTGCGTAAAAGCACAACAAACAAACAAACATTCATCCATATTCACAAACTTTCGCGTTTATAATATTACTAACTTTTACACGCGGCTTCGCTCACGTGTTTTATTTCTTTACGATCCGAAATTTCATGATGATCGGTTCAGTAATGTCGTTTCTCCAGTAAATTGGTACACATGTTTTCTGTTTTAGATAAATAAATAAAATTACTAACTAAAAAAATCTTCAATATTATTTATTTATGTATATAGATACAAAAGTATCTTAAAATATTACTAACTTTTATTATTAATATTACTAAATAAAACATGTGAGCGAAGCCGCGTGGGCTTCGCTCACATGTTTTATTTCTTTACGATACGAAATTTCATGATGATCGGTTCAGTAATGTCGTTTCTCCAGTAAATTGGTACACATGTTTTCTGTTTTAGATAAATAAATAAAAGAAAAAATCTTCAATATTATTTACTTATTTATATAGATACAAAAGTATCTTAATAATAATTTCAGCGTACCGCGCCTTTTTGCGAAGTATTACGTGCATTATTGACTGTTATAGGCCCGAGGCGTTCGTCCATAACAAAAGCCCTCGTATGCCTCCGTAAATTGCTGCTACAAATACATTTTTTATACTTTCATGATTTTATTACAAAAATAATAACGTACCTTCACTACTCCTGTATGAGACGGGGTAATCAGATATATATATATAAATATATACTCATATATACAAGCAGACCCGTTGCTGTGGCTAACGTTTAATGCCGTTCATCCAAACGATCAGGAAGGTATTTTAATGTCTGTTCGTTTGCATTGAATAGACTCCGAAACTAATAAACTGAAACGTTCTTCTACCATTAGAATCTTACGTTATCCCTAATGAACATAGGCAATAGAATATTTTCAAAAACGTTAGCTCTTTTCTTGAAGGTTTCAATATCGCATCGGTTCGGAAATACCATTCCTGCAATGAGATTCCACAATGCGGTTGCAAAATGTTCCTTGAAAACTCAACGTAGACAACAGTATGTACGTTTTACCGTTCTTTTTAACGGACTTTTCTACCTCCATATCTACTCTCTCCCTCCTCCTCCTTTCGCCCCCTCTCAGAGATCCGCAATTGTGTATTACAACAAAAGACTGGCACACTCTCGTCCAAACGGGCGGCAGCACAAAAACTGTTATTTGCCCTGCAAAAATGTATGTACGGACGCAAATAGGTCGTTATACGGAGCTGAAACGCTGTATTCGAACACTAACAATCCATTATTGCTCAACGGTCGGCTTCATAGAAATCGGATTGTCAGTTTAATGATGGGTGTGCGTAATGACCACATGTCACACATTATCTATGTGTACAACCAGGGATGTTATGGATATGAAATATCGGATACGGTTAGGTTTCGGATATAGGAATGATTATTATACCGGATACGGATACGGTTGCGGATATGAAATTATTTCGGATTATCCGTTAGTTTCGGATAATTTCGGTTACGGGTATAAAATTTTTAAAGGAATTTCAGAATTAAAATACAAATTGCTAACAAAATGGTTACATAACATGTCTCAATTAGGCTCCGTCCCTATCCGATATTATCCAGAACTTTTATTTTGGATTCGATTACGATTACGAATATTTTTTATATCGGATATCCGATAGTTTCGGTCATGGTTACGGAGCTCCCTAACATCCCTATTTACAACATACCTCGTACAACATACAACATAGAATTAATGTAGTACGTTAAACTAGTTCATTAAGTTACACTATTCACTAGCTGCTTATTTTTGAGTTTTACTTTCGTATCCTAATTGTTTATAGTAATAAACATAATCTATATTACTCAGGAATAATATAGGTATATAACAGTTAAATCAATTTTTGAAATCGGTCCTGTAATGAATTCGCTACAAACATACAGAAATATTAAACGTTTCTCTAAATATTACTATATATAGTAAAGTAGTAATTTACCTCAACTTGGCACGAATGCAATTATTGCAGGCTTTTAATTTCAAATTATAATGTAAAAGGAAAACGAAATGTAATGAAAACTCATTATTGATCACCTCATGGAAAAAAATACTCGTATCTAATGAGATTGAAATACCAGTATATATATTTTCTAAATGGAATTATTGGATAATTAAAAAAACAAATTGTTTATGGTCTTTGTAAGACAGTAACAATAGAAGTTGGGCAAGAAAATATATGTCGTAAAATCGTAGAGTCGTCTTTCTGAACTATACTTACTACTTATAAATATTTTATTTATTTTATTAACATTTAAGTATATTTAAATATATTTTTTTATTTTTACAAACTCTAAAAATAAAAAATATATTTTACATTTCATTTATTTACATATGTAAGTTATGTTGAAGATTATTAATTGGAATAGGACGATTCAATATGACAAGTAACATAAATTACACAGTTAATCTTCTTAAAATTAATAAATAAATAAATATTATTGTTATAAATTATATATGTCCAATAAAATTATTGGATATGTATAAAATAAAAATATAGAAAAATAAATATACTTACTATTTTTTATTACGCAATAAATTATATCTAAAAGATATAGGCTGAATAATAAATTAATATAATAACAAATGTGTTGAATTAAAAAAATAGTAAAATACGTATATTTGCATTTTTTTTATCACGAATGGCTCCAAATTATATGCAACATATTTAATATTAACAACATTGTTTTTGTATAAAACTTATTTAACATTACTTAATTACTTTATAACAAAAAAGAATTATGTTATTTTTCTGTTTATTTTATTATATACATCAATAAAATAATTTCGAAAACATTATTTTTGGAATCAAATTTAGAAGGGGACCCTACAATAATGGCATGTAATTGTAGGTATGGTCACATAGACTAAGTTCATTGTTACATACAAACATGGATACTGTGTGTAATCTAAATAAAAAATATTATTATTATTCGAATTAGAGACTAAGGAATAAATACATTATGTTATATATAAATAGAAGAAAATATTTAAATTCATCGTAACATTAATTAAATTGCGTATTAAAAAATAACAGTTACTGTTGTACTCACCGTAGATGCCATATTTTCATCACTGTACACTATTTTTTTTTATAAGAAAGTTCACTGGTGCCTATTACTTGTGGCAAAGAACAGGAATTGTTCGACTATCACGTTTCGACTTAACGACTTCATTCATACACTGGCAGCCTCACAACATGAGGTGACATTCCAAATTCAAAATTGACATTCGCAGAATTACGCGGGAAATGCACACAATACACAACACTATTTTGCTTTTAATTTTGTAGGTTATTTCGTTGGATTTATATAAAATTTCGATTGTGATCCGGGATTATTTTGCGAGGAAACGTCCACCGGCTGCCCGGGAGATCCCACGGGTTCCAGAGGCTGACTCTCGCCTGTCCCGCTGTTAGAAGCTTCGTAGACTGCGAATCCCCTCTTGCGTAACTATTATTGCATATAATTTTTAATACTCAATTTTCGTCGCCATTTCTTAGACACATCTTTTAATGTATTCTTCTGGCACTATTATATTACGCACTGAGATTATTCAAGTCCTTTTAAAGATAGAATTACCATATTTTTAAACAAAATATAATTCGTTTTATTTCACGAAGTAATAATGCCGTAAGTGATATTTATTTACGATTTTATGCTACAGTTTACTTAATAAATAAAAGAATATGTCGGAAAAATCACAAATGTCTATCACCATACGCAGCTTCGAGCGTTCCACATCTTTTGGGAGCAGCCTCTTTGCGCAGGCGTTAACCGGAAAATTCGAGTGAGACAGAATAGCTACGTTAAAACAAGTGCGACAGTGACAGAGTAGAAAGTAAGTGCATATAATTCAGTCAATTTGTTTTCTAGGCACGTTCGGATTTCAAAATCACTAGATAAATTTTTAGTGTTAGAAATAAAATGTATTTGTTTTAATCGTGTTTTTTTTTAATTTTATCCGGAATATTTAAGTTTTGTTTATTACATACTATGATGATGTAATGAATATAAATGTAACGAATATCTAAGTCAAAATATTCATTATTATTCAGAAAGCAGACTCATCATAAGAAGAACGAAACAGAAATTTGCGTGTTGCTCTTTTAAATAAATGTTGTTTTAAGTAAATACACATTAACAAGGATTAGGTATGTGACAATCAAGATAGAAACCGGTACGCACTTAATCTTTGTGCAATCAGATAGTATAGTGAGCTTATGAATTTTATTTAAACAAAATCTACAAAAACATTGTCAGTTATGAACTCTTGAATTTTTTAATATATTTTATTTACAAAAGTGATTTTTGTAAGACTTTTGAAACTTTTTTTTGATAGATTATAGATGGACTAGCAGTTTGTTGTAAAACCTTACGCAATTCTCATAAAATTAGTTGCTAAACTAATATAAAATAAAATAGAGAATGGTAGGTATGTGGAAAATTTTTGAAGACTTTTTGACAACTTTTTCTACTAATTAATAATATTTCAGGACAATTCACAGAGCCATTGTGTTATGGGTACTAGACAACTGATATAAATACATGGATACATTTTTTTTTATAAATAAATATATATTATACACAGAAAACACCCGATACAAACAATCATACTAATGAATACAAATGTCGGATAGTAAAGCGGTGTGCTGAACCACTAGACCACCGAGGCTGTCATTATTATATTATTTTATTATTGAATATACTAGCTGTCCCGGCAAACGTTGTTTTGCCTTAAAATAAAAAAAAATGTAGGGGTGGACTACCCCTAACATTTAGGGGGATGAAAAATAGATGTTGGCCGATTTTCAGACCTACACAATACGCTCACAAAATTTCATGAGAATCGGTCAAGCCGTTTCGGAGGAGTATGGGAACGAAAACTGTGATACGAGAATTTTATATATAAGATTTTCTTTATTTGGTCAAAGTTATAACACGCAGACAAAGTCGCGGGCAGAAGAGAGTTTTGTACAAATATCGATACATTATACATATTACAATATTGTTAAGTATCATTCTCGTATACCTATATTGTCATTAGCACTTAGATAATAACAATGTCAGTATTGTTGAAGTATCATTCTCGTATACCTATATTGTCATTATCACTTAGATAATAACAATGTCAGTATTGTTGAAGTATCATTTTCGTATACCTATATTGTCATTAGCACTTAGATAATAACAATGTCAGTATTGTTGAAGTATCATTCTCGTATACCTATATTGGCATTAGCACTTAGATAATAAAAATATCAGTATTGTTGAAGTATCATTCTCGTATACCTATATTGTCATTACCACTTAGATAATAACAATGTCAGTATTGTTGAAGTATCATTCTCGTATACCTATATTGTCATTAGCACTTAGATAATAACAATGTCAGTATTGTTGAAGTATCATTCTCGTATACCTATATTATCATTAGCACTTAGATAATAACAATGGCAGGTGTGCCACACCGGTGTCGCTAGCAATAAATCATTATTTATGAAGCCCTAATGACATCCAAATATTCATAAAACACATTCATCTTCCGTTCTCGTGCAATCTACAAAGTGTTTTATAATGTTTATACTCGTTATTTAACTACTACATACCGTGGTGATGCCTGCATTGTCTGTAGTACTGAAGTATGCGTACAAAGACTTTAAGCTAGTTTAAGAACTTTTATTGCATCAAAGTCAAAATAAAATTTTTATAATTTTTAGCATTTTCCAAATTGACGACACTGAGAATTGAATCCATATCCCATTTAATAACTACAACGGTACTAGCTGTGGCCGGGGTGTCACACGTTTGAAATTTATAATCTATGTATTCTTCTGATATATAAGCTATATAAATGTAGTTTCATTAAAATCCGTTCAGTATTTTTTGCGTGAAAGAGTAACAAACATCCATCTATACATACTCACAAACTTTCACATTTATAATACTAGTAAGATAGTAGGCGTTTCACAAATATAATAGTATTTTCCTGTTTGACGTCACTGAGAATTGAATCCGGATCCCATTTATTCAGACTATCAATTTCTTACAATATGCGGTTCACGCCGGTTTAAAAGAAGCATCCAGAATGTACTAGTAGGTCCTATACAAAAGCGCGTCAATTTACGAGGCGGCAACTCGCTCCGTTACCGGATCTCGGTGTAGATAACTCGCCATTAAAGATACATATATATGTACGTTGATGTACATATATATGTATCTTTAACTGCACCGGGTATTGTAGTCTCGTTATATATGTACAAGGTTATCGCATTTGACCGAGACGAGTGGTAAACTTCACAAATACAACGTAGGTCGGGGGGAAGGGTATTGTTACTAATGATCCCATTGCTAGCAATGTACCATATCAGGTTGACCTCCACGCGGTCTTCCCTGGAAACCATCGTGATAAATTCTCTGTGAATTTGTCACAATGGTCTAACTAACCTGACTTCATGTTCATCCTATTCAAATTCAAATTCAAAATATTTGTATTCATGTAGGCCTATTACACTCTTATGATATGTCAAATCTACCGTCAGTTCGGAATGATTTCGAGATGAGAAGAACTGACAAGAAACTCAGCTCGTTTTTTTTATATGTTGTACATATTTACAATAATACAGATTCATTTAAATTCAAATTTAGGAGAATAGAGTGACCTCCAGCATATGCTATTGAAAAAAAAAACAAAAAATCTAATAAGTCTTCGCAACCTGAACAGACCAGTCCCCACAAGCAGCACCGAGCTGTGAGTTCACTTGTAAGTTCACATTTTACAAGTTGAAACGTGTGAATACAAACTATCAACCAGCACTAATTTATTTAGGCTCAAATATAAAAACACAATAAGATTAAATCAGTCGTAGTGATAGGAGCAGACCAGTCCCTACAAGCAGCACTCGTTCACGAGTATGACGGATGAGCTGGCCATCATTGCACTTAACCATATTAGAGGGAGCACATCGACCCGACCCACCACGCCGCCACAAGTTTGAACTTTATAGCGAGCATGACTGTTTCAAGTTATTCCACTACGTCATTTATATTATTTACAGCATAAACTGTACCAATCACAGTTTTCACCCATTATAATATTTAATTTGCAATATTAAATTACAATATGTCATTACTAAATTTACAATAAGTTTCTTTAGTGTTTGTATCATTCTCCGCTGGTGCTCCGCCAGAGTAAACCGTAAACCGGGTGTACAATTCCATTAGCATACACTAAAAAAAACTACGTAGTTCTACAATCTCCCCTATTTCTGCCGGCAAGCAAATTGTTTTGTAAGATTTGTTGTTGTTGAAATGTAAATTACTTACAGTAAGGCATATTATCTTTGACGTCCTCGATTTAGAACATGGCCTTGCTTCCAATAGTCGCGGGTTCAATTCCTGGCACGAGACAAACATTTGTATTCATGAGTATGAACAATCATACTCATGAGTACGAATGTTTGTCTCTACTGTTTGGGTACTAGACAACTGATACAAATAGCTGAATATTTTTTTTTATAAATACATACCTAATATACATAGAAAACATCCAGACCTATACAAACAATCATATTCGTGAATACAAACAAATATTTGTATCGTGCAAGGAATCGAAGCCGCGAGCATCGGAAGCAATGCGTTGTGTTAAACCGCTAGACTACCGAGGCCATCAAATATGAGAAATAAATCTATCTGACTATCACATCTGCGACTATAGTCCTAAGCATATTTCTATACTGACTAGCGCTCCGCCCCGACTTCGCACGGACATTTGACAAAAATTTCAAAAAATATATAAACACGAAAAAAGTATTTTCATTTAATGATTAACGATTACATTTTATACCGGCGGTACTATTGAATATTTTAACATTAAAAAGATATTCTATCAGGTATAGTAATCAGGAATAATGTAGGATTCTAATGGTGACGTAAAGTCCCGAATCTACCCCCCACGGGGGCCGGAGTGCATGCTTTGAGGGAGGCATCACCCCACAACCAGACTCCTGGAGGTCCGCGCATGTACCCACGCGCCTCCACGAGAAGGTAGAGTGCAAGTCATAGCACCCTAACCAGAGAGAGGGGGCCTGTCCTACAACATCT